AAAAAAAAAAAAAAAAAAAGATGTGTTATGTTATGTACCAACTCTAAACAAGGAATGTAAACATTATTACTGCAATCATGCACTAAAAAAAAAAACTGGAGCAGTTAAAAAATAAAATGTAGGGTGAAGGGAGGGCAGAGGTAAGGGGAAAAAATGAGAATCAAGACTTGTCATGTACAGGTACAAGATCCCAGCAATGAATGTAACTGTACTGTATCCCTAAAATGTACCAACAAACTCAATTAAAGCTGAAAAAAAAAATGTAGGGCCAGGGATTTAGCTCAGTGGCACTGCACATGCCTTGCAAGTGCAAGGTCATGAGTTCGATCCCTGGCACCACAAAAACAAAAACAAAAAATAAAATGTATCAGTACATCTCATAAGATCACTGTAAAGTGTAATGAGATAAGTGCCAACAAATGCTAAGCTCTGTGTTATTTCCTCTCTCCCTCCTCCCTCCCCACTTAAAAGACCAATCTCTTAAACTGGCATGTAAACCCCACCCATACACCTCACCACACCCTCAGATTGGCTCCAAACAACCTTTTTTAACGTTATCTAGAACAGCTCTTCTGCACAGTGGTCCAGCTGGAAGTCACTTCTGTCACCTTTTTCAGGCTGGAATGCCACGGACACACAAGTCTGTAACCCCGAAATCTGTGGCAATCAAAGGAGTCAAAGCCCACAGAAAAGATGGGACAAGGGAAGGGGAAATTAAGGCTGACAACGGATCATAAAAAGGGGTTGGGAAATCAGAGGAGACTGCACACACCAGCCTGGGATGCAAAACGACAGGACTCAACAATGTAAGCACAAACAGGGACCCAAGCAGAAAAGATTTGAAATCCTAAAGGAACAACGACTGGATGGTCAGAGGGGACACGACCACAACAGACAGACAAGACCCACAGAGAGGGGAAGAGGGTAACCTGATGGGATGGCACTTGGCACGGAGACAGAACCAGCAGAGAGCACGGCAAAGGGGTCAGGAAAATGAGGTGTGGGGCACAAAGACGGGGTAGGGGGCTCAGACGGTGAACATGAGAGGAAGAGTCAGGTCTCGCCTCTTTCGCATCTGGATATCCCGGATGCACAGAGAAAATGGGACCACACGGGAAGGTCAGGAAGAGAAGACAGGAGGGGGTCTTCAGGGAGATAAAGAGAAGGCACCCACTACAGAGGGGCGACCTGAGAAGAATGAAATCCCTGAGGGAGGCACACAAGACTCAGGAGCCAGACTATCCAGGGAATGGGGCACCGGGAGGGCACAGGTCCGAAAAGGTGCAAGACGGACAAGCAGAGAGAGACAACTGGACACAGGCACAGAGACACAAGAAAACGGGTGCTACTTGATAAAAATTGAGAGCTGAGAAGAAACACGGAAATTACAGGGAGAGGGACGCAAGAGGCGTAGCCGGGGAATTAAGGAACGAGGAGAGCAATGAAGACACCACAGCCTGCAGTCAGGACGAGAGCACACGCCAGAGAAGCGTAAAACGGCGCATGCGCAGATGGCCTGCAGCAACGCTCTTGGGCGCTCAAGGTGAGGAGTAAGTAACCTGCCGTTCCTGGGAGGGAGGGCTGGCCTGGGTCCTGGAGACAGTACTCGACGCCCCACTGGCCACCTGCCCTGAAAAGGAATAGTCTGGAAATGCGAGCCACGGTGGGGGAGGGTAAGGGACACGAGACTCAACTCGACGCGCTATTGGCTGGCCTGATACTCTGCGACCTGTAGAAGGGCACAAAGAGGAAGGGGCGGGCCGTCAGCACAGCGTCTAAAACTGCATTGGTTGCCCCTGGGCCAGTGCTTGAAGCTCATTGGTCCTTGTAGGATGGCGAGGAAAAACTAGCGCGAGAGTAACCGTTCCTCTCACCACTTTGTCTCTCCCACCCTTCGCCTCCTCTGCACTGAGTCTGACTTCGCTGGAGGCTGTGGTAACCACGGGCTGGCGGCATGAACACGAGCCCTCCCCATTCCCTCCCTACCGCTCCTTTCTTGTGAGGGATCCCCCACCACCTCCCAAGCTTCCTCTTGGCCTCCTCACGTCCCTCGCGACCCACTCTGTTCCCCCACCCGCGGGACCCTGGGCGCAGCGCGTTCCTCGTGCCCTGCCCCCTCCCTGACGCCCTGGAGCGCAGTGGAGCCACAGGCGGGTGTTGGGGGGGTGGTTCCTGGGAGGGTGCTCGGCAGTAATGGCTACATGGCGGGGTGCGTGGGATTAATTGTAGGAAATGGGTACAGGTTCATAAGCTCTGGGTACATCCCCCTGCGAGGGAAAATTGGCATCCTGAGGCGAGGCCCTTGGCCTTGATCTGGGCCTCGACTTAGCAGGGGCTCAGTAAACATTTGTAGAATGAATGAAGGAGTGAATGAAAATAACTGCTTAAAGTGGGGAGGGAATCCCTGGGAATAAGATAATTACTGAGGGCATAAAGAACAGAATCAAACTGGGCTGGGGATTTAGCTCAGTAGCGCTGTTCCTGCTTCACAAGTGCAAGGTCCTGAGGTCCTGATTTTGATCCCTGGTATAGGGGGCGGAGTCAAACTGAAAGAGTGAGGGGCAGACTGAACTGCGGGGCATAAGAATTTCAAAAATAAAAGAATTTCCAAAATCAATAAATATATTACTGGGACTGGATAAATACGAAAGGATAGGATGACAATTGTTGAAAAGGATGCCAGGGGAAACTTGGTTGGAACACAGTGTTTGTGGGAAAAGGGTATGGGTATCAAGAGAAGCGTGGGAGGGCATGTGTATGCCCCAAATTGGAATTTACCATGGGAAAGTGTGTCAGTGAACCAAGGAGGATGCTGTTTGTATTGAAAGAACATCTAAGAAAGGAAAGAAGAAAGTGATCTCTTAGGAAGGAGGAACAGTGAGAAAGTTTGTGGGCTGAAGATGGGGACAGGACGGAGAAACACAGATGTGGCCTCCCAAATGCAGAACTGGTTAAGAGAAGGTCCCATGTAGCTATCCTAACCGCCACCCCTGCCCCTAGATCCATGGAACCCAGTGAAACACCTGCTGCCCATCACTGCCCCGCTGACTCTGATGCAGGAGTTGAGACCAGAGCCACGCAGGGCACAGAGCTTATTCCCAGAAGAGCTGTCAGTCGTTCTCCAACTTGTGCCCGCTGCCGCAATCATGGGATTACAGCCCATCTCAAGGGCCATAAGCGCCTCTGCCTCTTTCAGGCTTGCGAGTGTCACAAATGTGTCCTCATCCTGTGAGTATGAGGTCTAGGCAAGGGAGGGGAATGGGCTTCTAAAGGGCAGCTGGCTTTTGACTTGCAACTCTCCTCCTCTTTTAGGGAACGCCGGAGGGTCATGGCTGCTCAGGTGGCTTTGCGCAGACAGCAGGAGGCCCAGCTAAAGAGACAACTAGCTCAGGGACTGGTGAGGAGAGGGGCAACCCCTCTCAAAGTGCCCCTCCATGTTAAGAAAGAAGCTACTCAACCAGCGGTGCCCTGTGAGTATCTCTGGCTGGGGATCGGGCAGGGATTTGGATATAGAAAGCATAAATAGGGGAAAGAGTCCCAGTCCTGCCACTAAGTAGGAATGCTACCTTGGGCAAGTGTTTCTACTCTCTGGGCTTCAGCCTCCTAACTATAAAAAAAAATCAAGTGTTAGGAGGATGCAGTGAAATCTTCAGGTAGAAAATGGTCAAAGAGAGCTGGGGTGGTAGCACATGCCTGCTACCCCAGCACTTGGGAAGCTGAGGCAGGAAGATTACTATGAATTCAAGCCCAGCCTAGGTTACATAGTGAGTTCAAGGCCAGTCTGAACTACATAGTGAGACCTGGCGGGGTGGCAGGGAGAAAATGCTCAGAGAGAGATAAAACTCGGGGTTTGAGGAAGAAATGGGTCTAGAAGAAAGCTCACTAGCGCGCTCTCTGATCCCTCACAGATGGAAAGGAAAATATAGCACCCTTGCCTCAGAATCTCCATGGGGCAATCCCACTGGCACTGACACCTCCTGGGAAGGTAAGGAGATCCTATGCTGTGAGGGAGTGGCTTCCACCCTGTCTCCTGCCCAGACTCCTTCCTCAGTGCTCTCAACCTCTGGATTCTAGCCCCATCCCCCACTCAGCATGTAATCCTGAGCAAATCACTTCTGTAGGCAAAATGAAAGGGTAGGATTTTAGGACCCATGCATAATGTTGGGGTCTTACCCCATCCTAGAACACATCTTTCTTCTCCAGCTTTGTACTTAACTTGCGCCCTCTACCTTTATAGGAGAACTCCTGTGGGCCTCTGATGCTCAGCCGTCCCCCAGAAGCTTTGCCTTTGCCTTTGCCTTTGCCTTGGACTCCAATGCCTCCCAGCCCTTGGGGCAACGGACACTGGCTGCCTCCAGGCCTCTCCATGCCATCTCCAGTGGTGTATCGCTTGCTATGCCAAGAATCTGCTGTTCCTCTGCATCCCTTCCCTGGTAGGAAGATAATTCAGCATTCATTCATTCAGTGCCAGTTTGCCAGTGTATCAGAAAGGAAAGAGGAAAGGGACACAGGTGAGGAGAATGCAGAGCTGTGACCTCTGATCTCTCTACACTCTGCATTCCCTCATCTTCCCTAGGCTTTGACCCTGGTGCCTCCCTCCGGCTGCCCACGCATGGATCCCTCCCAGCCTTCCCAGGATCTTGCTCGGTACTGACAGCTCCTCCTTCTGGAGAGCCCCAAGGGCATCCTACCCTGCCACACACGTGAGTAGAGACAAAGGATGTGTATTTATTCCAAGCCTAACTCTGTTATGAATATCACAGTGAAAGATAATGAAGAAAAGTTCCCAGACTACTAATAGGGAAGGCAGAGTGCTCATAGAGCTACTGTTTCCTAGCTATGAATCTTCAGACAAGTATGTATACCTGTCTCAGCCTTCTTTTCTATCAATAAATGGGAGATACTATTACTTTAATGTTTTTGTAATAATTAACAATAATGTATGGAATACACCTAACACAGGTCCTACCTTGAACAAATAGTGGCTATGAAATCCTCTTAAAAGTCTGAGGATTTAGCTCAGTGGCACCATGCCTGACTTGCAAGCACAAGGTCCTGAGTTCAATCCCCAGTTTTTTAAAAAAAAATCCTCTTAAAAGAGATGAGATGGAGGGCTGGGGATTTAGCTTAGTGGTTCCACTGCCTGCCTTGCAAGTGCAAGGTCCTGAGTTCGATCTCCAGTACTAAAAAAAGAAAGAGAAAGAGAGAGAGATGAGATGGGATAGGATTGCCTGCTGAAATGGAGGATTATGATGGTGAGATCCTCAGAGGCTCAGTAGAGAAAGTTTCTTGAAGGTGAACCACGCTCACCTTCAAATTCCACCAGGACTGGGGATCTGCATAAGTAAAACCAAATCTGGTGGAACACGGTCATTAATCCCAGTCCCCCTAGGTAAATTGTCCATTTTTTTAAAACTGACACCCAAAGCCAGGTGTAATCCCAGCACTCAGGAGGCTGAAGGAAGAGGACTGCCGTGAGTTCGAGGTTACATAGTGTGTTGAAGGCCGACCTTTACCACAAAGCAAGACCCTGTCTCAAAAAAACAAAAACAAAAATTTAAACTGACACCAGTGATATCCTGTAATCCCTAATAGTAGTCTGGGAATAAAAATCTGTGAGGGATTTCATTTTATAGAAAACAAAGCAGTTCAAGACAAGGCACAACACTCACCCAAACCCACAAAGCTCATTGGGCCAGTAGGCTCTTAGAATTCTAATCCTCATGTCTGTTTATGTGTTTAATCCCCCTGGCATCTCTCCTTGCTTCTAGATGCTCAACTGTGATACTCCAGTCTTGTGGTGCTCCGGACTCTCTTCTGCTACAGCCACAGGTCCTGGGAAGTGGTATCCAGGACCCAGGGAGGAGGTTGAGAGCCTGGGGAAGGGAAAAGCAAGGGAATGTGAAAGGACTAGAGATGGAAGGAAACACTTGCAGGGTGGGCAAAAATGGTGATTCCCAGCCTGCTTTTCTGTTTGCTTTGCAGGCCCCTGGAGCCTCTCGCCTGGCCTGGACATCTCCCCCCTCAGAGTGGCAGCTGCAGCAGGAGGCAGCTGAGGCTCTCATAGGTCTGAAAGACTCATCCCACGGTCCCCGACTGGCTCCTTCAGTATCCCCTAATCCCACCTGGATCTCTCTACTCCACCCCTGTGGCCCACCAGGTAACCTGCTTCCTAAAAGGAGAGGATACAATAAAGGTGGTTGGGAAATGGTTACTAGAGTAAGCAGGGACTGGCAAAGAAGATAGGAAGTCAAATTGAATGTCCTCAGGTCCAGGTCCCCAAGCTCCTCAGCCTGCCTCTAGGATTGCAGCTGGGGGTTGTTTAGTGAATCACTTTTACCAGTTTTGTACTCAATGGCAAATGTCCAGTGTCCTGATCTCAAGGAAAATGAGGCCCTTAGAGAGTCAGGGACTTGTCCATGGACATATATCAAAATAATGTGGAGCCTGGTCTCGTCACTCCAGCCCAAGTTCTCTCTCTCCAGACCCTAGCCACCTGCTGAAGTCTGGAGAGGGAATGAAGAAGTAACCAGGGTCTGGCCTGGGAGGAGGTAACTGCCTTCCAGGAGCTTCCATTCTAGTTGGGGAACCGAGGTGCCTTCACAAGTATCAGTGGCAAGACCTAAGGAACTCTGAAGAGTGAGAAACACTCAGGAGGACAGAGAAG